GGGTATTTTGAAAAGTTGGACGGGTACCGGCAGGGGTATATTGCAAAGAGGGTCGTCCAGTTGGACGCTGGTATTTTGCAAAGGTTTGTAATTGTCCGAAGGGTATTCCCCTGTACCCACATCTTTTAGGGGCACTTTGGCATCTATCTGAACTTTGACGGGTAAAACGCAACTTTTTCCAAGGGAAAAAAGAAAAAAATTAGCCAAAATCTCTTCCACACAGTCATGAGGCCAACCTTACCGGTACCGGGCTGAGGTCCACTAGCAAGGAGGACTCGATTTCACGCCTGAATCTGGACGCGTTTGCAGAGAGATGCGGAAACTCGAGACTGATCTGCTTTTCTTCATCGAGTCCCCAAAACCATGCAGATTCAGACGCTTAATGCAATCCTCTTTGCTAGCGGGACCTGGCGGGACCTCACCCCTGGGGCCAGGTCCCACAAGCAGCGCAGCGTTGAGTCTCCTCAACGCCTGAATCCGGACGTGTCTGTGGATATGTGCAGAAATCACGTTGAGTTTTTTTCTCAACCGCACATCTCCACGAACGCGTCCAGATTCAGGCGTTCAGGAAACTCAACGCTGCTAGTGGAATCGCGCCCAGAGTGCAGTGCCTACGGAACTCACTTTTCAAAAAAAAAAAACTCACTTTTCCACCAGTTCGCCGTTTTAGGGCATTACTCACACTTGGCCTTTTTTTTTTTTAACGTTATTTCTGGTTGATAATGCCGCCAGATGCGTACAGGTCCGGTGGAAAATGCGGTCAGATATACATTTAGGATAGTGCTTTTGTTAGTGTGAGTACGCCCTTACTCTGGGTGGGCTTGCGACGTGTCTTTCTGTTTTGGTGGTTGGTATTGTGCATTTACTGGGGTGGCTAGGATTGTTGCCACGTTAGCAACACATTGACACGTGGCCACAGATTATCCACGTCAGCGATCAGCGGCTCTTTCCCGCCATTTAGTTCTCCTCGTCGTCGTTCTCCTCACTCCATTCTCCGACAAGTGCCAAGCTTGCCTACCGGTATGCTTCTCCTTCGGCTGTTCTGTTCCCGCCCCTCATCGTCTTCTTCTTGTTTTTTTTCCCCCTAGCGCCCGCATTTCTCTTTTTCTTCTTTTTTTCTTTTCTTTTCTTTGTTCCATAAGCGTCGTGCCCTCGTCTCTCTCTCTCTCTCTCTCTCTCTCTCTCTCTCTCTCTCTCTCTCTCTCTCTCTCTCTTGAAACTCTCTCTGTCTTTCTTTTGAAACTCTCTCTCTCTCTCTCTCTCTCTCTCTCTCTCTCTCTCTCTGTCTCTCTGTCTCTCTCTCTGTCTCTCTCTCTCTCTCTCTCTCTCTCTCTCTCTCTCTTAACAAAATAAAAATAAAAAATTCAAATTACAGTAATTTATATATCTCCCGTCGTCGTCCTTGTGGCCTGTTGTTTGCGCATTTTGCCGCCGTTTTCCTCCTCGGTTCCCTCGTGGTTAGCTTCTTTCTCCTCTCCTGCTCGCCTCACCTTCTCCTCCTCTCTTCTCTCTTCTCCTCCTCCCTCCTGTTCCTTCTGCTTCTTGCTCGTCGAAGGGGTAATGATCATGTATTGAAAACTTAAGGATTAAAGAAAAAAAGAAAGGAAAACGAGCGGTTTAAAGAGAGAGAGACGGGGGTATAGATTTTTGGTTATTTTCCCCCCATCTAATTTATTGTCGATTTGGGCGTGCACTCTGTCAACGCTGCTGGCGTTGAGGGGTTGGGGGGGGGAGTGAATGGGGCTTAACAAAACAAGCACCAGAGTTCGTTTCCCTCCTCCCCCCCCCTCCCCGCACACACACAACGTCGTTTCTCTCGGCTGTGTCCAAGTTTAATTATACAACAACCAGCAATTGGTTCCCCACGACCGGTATGAAATAATGCTTATTTCGTGCCGACCGGTCGTCCTCGTTTCCTGCCGACCGGTCGTCCTCGTTCTCTCTACTCCATCTTGTCCACCACTGGCATGATCATTCAGTGGACTAATTCTCGCTCTTGCGTTCACCCCCTCCTCCACCCCCTCCTCCTTCCCCTTCTCCTTCTTCTGCATATTGTTTGTCAACCTAATGGCAACGTCTCCTCCTCCCTCCTCTTCTTCCCTCCTCCTCCCTCCTCTTCTTCCCTCCTCCTCCCTCCTCCTCCCTCCTCCCTCCTCCTCTTCCTTCTCCTCCTCCTCTTCCGTCTCTTCCTCCTTCCCTTCTCCTCGTCCTTCGTCTAGCTGTTTGGCTTTGGAATGGCAACTCCTCTTCCTCCTCGTTGCTCTCCTCCTCTTCTTCCTCCTCATTGCTCTCCTCCTCTTCTTCCTCTTCATTGCTCTTCTCCTCCTTCCCTTCCCCCTCTTCCTCCTCCTCCTCCTAGTGAGGCACAGGGGGGAGAGCGAGCTGAGAACGGGAGGATGAGAAGATGGGGAAAAGGAGGAGGAGGAGGAGGAGGAGGAGGAGGAGGAGGAAGAGGGGAGGAGGAGGAGAGGAGGAGGAAGTGGAGGGGGAGAAGGACGGAGGTGGGAAAGGGAGGAGGGATTTCCATGATGTATCTGACCGCAGTGGCGTCTGTGCACCTGGATGCATCTGACCGCAATTACGTCCAGAAATGCGTCAAAAAAATCCTAGTGAGAGTAAGCATTTACTCGGATTCTGTGTTTCCGGCCGTTGATTCTCTAGATCTACGGTCGATACGTTCAGGCCAGGACTTTCCTGGATGTATCTGACCGCAATTGCGTCTGCTCTGGGATGCATCTCACTGCTATTACGTCCAGAAACGTGTCAAAAAAATCCTAGATCCTAGTTTGTGTATGCCCTTACCCGGATTCTGTGTTTCCGGCCGTTGATTCTCTTGATCTACGGTCGATATGCTCAGACCAGGATTTTCCTGGATGTACTTGACCGCAATTGCGTCTGCTCCGGGATGCATCTGACCGTTATTACGTCCAGAAACCTGTTCTAAAAAATCCCAGATCCTAGTTTGCGTATGCCCTTACCCGGATTCTGTGTTTCCGGCCGTTGATTCTCCTGATCTACGGTTGATATGCTCACACACTAGAATTTTTCTGGATGTACCTGACCGCAATTGCGTCTGCACCTAGATGCATCTGACCGGAATGACGTCCAGAGCATGCCCCTTACCCGTCCTACAAGTGTGAGTATGCCCTTCCTCGTCGTCAATGATTCGTACGCGTCGTGTTCGGTCTCTTCTTTCTTCTTCTTATTTTTTTTTGTTTTCATTTTCTTCTTCTTCTTCGTCTTTTGCGGTTCTCTCCATCTCCTTCACCTTGGCGGTGTCTCCTTTGCTACCTTGTTTCTCTTCTTCCTCGATTTCTTCCATAGCCTCCACCTTTTTCCTCGATTCCCTCCATAGCCTCCACCTTCTTCTTCGATTTCCTCCATAGCCTCTTCTTCTTCTTCTTCTTCTACGTTTTCCTCCACCCTCTTCACCTTGTCCTCAATCTTGACGATGTCTCCTTCGCTACCTTCTTCCGCTTCTTCCTCGATTTCCTCCATAGCCTCTACCTTCTTCCTCGATTTCTTCCGTAGCCTCTGCCCTCTTCCTGCATTTCCTCCATATCCTCCTCCTCCTTCCTCGATTTCCTCCATAGCCTCTACCTTCTTCCTCGATTTCCTCCATAGCCTCTACCTTCTTCCTCGATTTCCTCCATAACCTCTACCTTCTTCCTCGATTTCCTCCATAGCCTCCTCTCGATTGTGACGCGGTCTCTTTTCTTGCCTTCTTCCCCTTCTTTCTTCCTCGATTTCCTCTTATCTCCTTCACCTGTTCCTCGGTTCTGCCGCTGTCTCCCTCTTGTTGCCTTCTTACCCTTCTTCCTGCTCTTTTTTCCTCCGTATCCTTCCCCCACCTTCTCCTCTTTCCACCCTTCCTCCTCCTCCTCCTTCCTTCTCCTCCCTCTCCTCCCTCTCCTCCCTCTCCTCCCCTGCTAATCCGTCTCCCCAACGTGCTGACGTGGCATCCCCACTTCGATTTCCTCAGTTAGTTTCGTTTCTTCAGTTAAATGTACTGAAGAACCTGTGACCAAATGCAAAAAAGGAGGACAAAAAAAAAAAGAGGAGGGAAGCTCCCCCCCCTTCGTCTTCTTCGTCTTTTCCCGCCTCCCTTCGTCTGTGCGTCATTGAGCGCGGAGGCCTTATTCTCTGTATGTCCTCTCCCCGCCGATGTGCAAGTTAAAAAGTGAATCTGTCAGCATTATCGTCTGGGTACATTGTGCATGTATTCCCTTGGTCCATGCGATTGATCTATACCGTCGTCCGCCGAACACAACGCACCCTCGTTATGGCTGTACCAAGTCGGAAAGATGGCTTGTATACATTAATTACGAGGGTGCTTTGTATTCGAGAGAAGACGGTAGTCGTACGTTGTCTCTTTCTTGATCCCCTGCCCCTTAGTATTTTGAACTTGGCTGCCCCTACATTCATTACCGGGTCGTTATGGCTGTACCAGGTCGGAAAGATAGCTTGTATACATTCATTACCAGGTCGTTACGGCTGCACCAGGTCGGAAAGATAGCCTGTATACATTCATTAGCAGGATATATGTCCCATCTCCGATCAGAGATGTTTCTTCCTTCTTGGCTCTTGTCCCTTTGATTGCTGTGTTATCATTATCTGCTTCAGTTTGTCGGCTACTGCGCATGTGTAGCACCGAATTTGGCATTCTTTTGCTCGATCTCGAATGTATTGAAGCTATCTTTCTGGTCGGGTACAGTCACGAAGATCTTCTGATCTTCTCGGTTTGAAATTCAATCTGAAAAACTTGAAAATTTACTGCAAGTCTCCTCTAAAAAAAATAAAAAATAAAAAAATTACTGCAAGTCGCAATGTGTGTCACCTGCTGCAGTTCCAGGTGGTACCTCTCTGTGGTCAGTATCTCCCCCCCCCTCACCCCCCGGCGCGCGCGCGCGCGCAAGAGAGAGAGAGAGAGAGAGAGAGAGAGAGAGAGAGAGAGAGAGAGAGAGAGAGAGAGAGAGAGA